ATCCTCGAAACCGCTCAGCCCACACATGTAACCTTAAACCCTAAACCCTAAACTAAACCCTACACCTCAATAATTCCTAAACCCTAAGCCCTAAGCGCTAAACCCTAAACCCTAAACCCTAAACCCTAAACCCTAAACCCTAAACCCTAAACCCTAAACCCTAAACCCTAAACCCTAAACCCTAAACCCTAAACCCTAAACCCTAAGGCTCCAGTTTAAGGGTTTTTGGGCCAGGCCGTGGTTCGTCACGCCTGCGGACGACATGGGCAAAGGACGGAGCCCCTAAGCCACTTTTTGCGGTTGGGAGGCCGTTTCAGCAAACTTGGAGCTTCGGGGTTTAGGGTTTAGGGTTACGGGTGTAGGATTTATGGATTAGGGTTTAGGGTCTAAGGATTTTGGTTTCTGGTTTTTTGCTCTCATTCTTGACGGGTTGTTGTTGGTCAGGGTGCTTGTGCTGACTTTTTGTGTCAGGTTCGAAAAATGCAGAGTCCACTGCGAATCGCGGTGATGATGAGATCTGTTCTGAGAATGTATATGATATGCTTGTGTTTGCATGTGTGTCGAGGTAGGCTACCTATGTATTCATGTCTCTATCTACAGATACATTTGCGGCATCAGAGATCTACCGGTAGGATTTCGGGCATCGGGCCTCCCGAAGTTGCCGAGTCTCTTCAGGAGGCCGGTTCCGGCCGCCTATTCGGTCGGAGAAGGGAGGCGGGGTTTCCATCGTGTTTTGCACGGCGTTTGCAGGGTAGGGCTTGGGGGCTTAGGGGGCCCACTGCAGCCGTACACTTGGCGAAGTTAAGGGGTTGAGGGCTTTGACGGCTGGAGACGCGGAATCGATCTGAGATCTAACCATATCTAACCCATTGCTACTTCGCAGATCGAAGAAAATGAAGCCGAAGAGTCTGAACATCCAGCCAGACAGGCAGCCGGTCCCCACTCATGGAACCGGGCAGCAGCCAAGGCCATCGGTCTCTCGAGTCTTTGAAGTGCTCTGGGAAGGCAACCCTCAGTGAAATCAAGATCCGAGTCTGAACTTAAAACTCATTTTAAGGGGTTCAGGCACCCCCCGGCAAGCCTCAACCCGCAGGTGCCCTGATGGCTGCGGGTTGACAGAGTGTTGGTTCAGTGACTTCTGGGTCATCTGAGATGGAACTGGCCCTGCACCTCGGCAGGCACAGGAGCCGCTCCCGCCGCGACACAGGACACCAGCCCTTCGGCTCAAATTCTTCCCCAAGCCTTGTTCAGGTGTGAGGACTTCCTTGTTGCAAGAGCAGCTACACAGCATCTCCGACTGACCCAGGTCTTTACGAGAGCTTGATGAACGTCTTTGAAGCGAAGGCCAGAAGGTCGAATGACTGAAGCAACGCCAGCGAGTTTGCGTACAGGTGCACGCGCAATCCAACTCCGACACTTAAGTTGCCTGCTCTGAGCTCAGATTCAGCAGAGATGGTGTTTAAAAACGGAAGAGCAGCTGGCTCAGCAGGATTGTTGTGGTTCTACCTGTCTTGACATGCCGACGAAGGTCAACCTGTGGTGGCTCAGTGGCGCGCGCCTCTCCACGGAGTTCGGGCAACGAAAGATGCCCCCCAGATGTGAAGTTCGGCGAAAGGGCCCCGAAGTTGCTCGAAGGAGCTCTCCCTGCGGCCAACAATTGGGGCAAAAAGTCCCAGGAAATAGAGAGACGAGGAGTCGAGCTTCGTAGACTCGGGTAGATGTCGGGGCAGACTCAGGACGATGTGGTGTCTCACAGGGGCAGAGGGCTCCTCCTTGGGAATTCCAAGTGCTGATTGAAGGCGCGCGCGAGAAGCGGAAACATCGTCGAAAAATTGCACCGCGCTGTCTCATGTGCTCTCCGAGCCTGAAGAATCCTGAAGGAACCCGGAGTCAAGCGACTCTCAGGTCCGGGAGCCGCAGAAGTCCATCGTGGACCTGTGGAACTGCCGCCCCGGCGCGGCGTTAATGTTGTTTTCTTGTGCGTGGGGTGGGGGGGGGGTTGCGACCTTGGGCTGCAAGCCTTGCGCGGCCTCTGTGATCTCGTTCATCGTTTTGCTTGGCGTGGTTTTGTTGGGTGGCTGTCCTAAGTTTTTGCTCCATTCTCTGCATGTCACTGTATTCGCCAGGTCTGAGGGAATACAAGAAGGACAACTGGCCACTTGGCAGATGCAAGGTACAGGGGAGGAGGGTCTCAGCCAGGTCATGTCAGGTATGGGATCCGGGATGCATGAGGTTCCAATCTGTAGCTGAGGTGGCACACTACTGCTGGCATCTGGGGTATATACGCTTCGCCCCCAGTTCCCGCAAGCATTGCAAGCAAGACAAGTGTATTGGTCCAAGTGTGAAATTTGGGGCGTGGGTGAAGTGCCAACATGCATGCGTCTAGTCTCTAGACAGCCGAGCACATGACGAGAGGAGTTTAGTTTTGTGGTGTTATGAAGAGTTGAAAGCCCCAAGGAATCGCTAAATAGAACAGATGACGCATCAGAACAGCACAAGCTCCGGACCTTAGGAACCCATGAAAGTATGTTTGCAACATGCAAATTCAATACATTCTGGGCATCACAGTGCCGTGCTGGGGAGGTTCAGTTACTTGACTCATTCACCCTAAACCCTAAACCCTAAACTCTGAACCCTGAACCCTAAACCCTAAACCCTAAACCCGTTGTATCGTGTGATGGATAGCGGCAGCTTCGCAGCAATCTTTCGTCGACAGCTTCTGCTCGCGGGCAAGATTCTCCAAACTCAAGCCCCACCGGACTAAGCCCTCCACCCCAACCCTCCCCATGTTGTGAGTGCTTGCAAGGACAGGCTTAGCTCATGCCAAGGCATCAGCACAGCCCTGATGTCCGCAGACATTGCAGATTGACGCAAGTTCGACGGAACCCTAAACCCCAAACCCGCAACCCTAAACCCCAAACCCCTAAACCCCAAACCCCTAAACCCCAAACACCTAAACCCCAAGCCCCAAACCCCAAACCCTAAACCCCAAGCCCCAAACCCCAAGCCCTAAACCCCAAGCCCCAAAACCCAAGCCCTAAACCCCAAACCCCAAACCCCAAACCCCAAACCCCAAACCCCAAACCCCAAACCCCAAACCCCAAACCCCAAACCCTAAACCCTAAACCCTAAACCCCAAGGTGATCTTCAAAGTCTTTGGCCCCTTCGGCGCAGGCACCTCGATGGTCCTGTCGGTGCGGCCCTCAGAGGGTTCGTTTGGGGTTTAGGGTATAGGGTTTAGGGTTTAGGGTTTGGGGTTTGGGGTTTAGGGTTAGGGTTAGGGTTTTGGGTTCAGGGTTTCAGGGTTTCAGGGTTTAGGGTTTAGGGTTTTGGGTTCAGGGTTTCAGGGGGTTTAGGGCGTTTGGGGGTGTTAGGGTGTTCGGGGGTTTAGGCTGTTTACGGATTCAGGGGTTTAGGGTTTTTAGGGCTTTAAGGAGTTTAGGGGCTTTAGGGTTTTGGGGGCATTAGGCTGTTTGGGGCTTTAGGGGGTTTAGGTTTTCAAGGTTTTCGGGGTTTGGGGTTTCAGGGTTTACGTGGATTCAGGGTTTAGGGTTTTAGGGTTTGAAGCCCTAAATTGCATGGGAAAGTTTTGAAGGGTTTGGGGGTTTTTGGTTTTACTCGTAGGGGTTAACAAATTCAGGCGTTACCAGGGTTTAGGGTTCAGGGGCTTAGGGGTTTGGGGGGTTGAGCGTTAAGGATGTAGGGGTAGAATGCTGGGTTTGAGGAGTTGGTGTTTCGAGGTCGCGGGTATCCCTTGCGACTTCACAGTTCCTCCTGAACGCGAAAGGGCTCGCGTTTAGGGTTTTGGGTTGGGATGTTCCGCCTTAACAGTCAGTCTTCAATCGGGATATATAGTGCCCACTATTTTAATCCCCCCTTTTGCGGACTGTTTGTTAGTATAAGGGGGAACATCCCAAGTTTTGAGCTTTTTAAGTTTTAGGGCTTAAGGTTCAAGTTAGGTGTTTGCTCGGGTGCCAGGGGTTCAGGCATGTTCAGGCTGCTCCCTTGGCTTAGGGTTTAGGGTTTTGGGGTGTAGGGTTTGGGGTTTGGGGTTTGGGTGTAGGGTTTCGGGTGGAGGAGGTCCATGTCTAATCATTCTCAGCCCCAAAAAGGTTTCATACAGCCCGGAAGAGGTGAGCTGGGCTGGGTCGCAGGTGCTGATCGGTGCGCTTTATGATGAGTGGGCCGAGCCGAACACGTCCCCTTCTCAGAGTTTTCGAAGGCTAGGTTGTTTTGCTTTGGATCTTGCGGCGTGTCCCGCGTCAGATGCTGAAGCCGCCTACATATCCAACTGTCCTCTTTGACCAGAAAGCCGCATGTTGTCGTTTTGGTCACCATGCAGAAGTCAGCCCCAACTGATCTCCTGTCTCTCGCCTCCGGTATCTTGCAAGTGTTGGGGGCAGGGATGTGTGAGGGTCGGGCTACCTGCGGCAGGCGCTACTCAGCCCTGGCACACCTCCTGGGCGTGAGTGGCGAGGCCCGGGCCGAATGAAGCTGCAGCCAGATCGAGGGGACCAGCAGCAATACAAGCGCTCAAGTCCTTCTTCGGGCTCAGTCCCACCCGTGCAGGTCTGTGGTGGTGCTGGGGGCTGGATCATGCCACCGGACTCAGCTGTAATTCGGTGGAAGGGTTCACGGATTTTAGGGTCGAATGGTTTTGCACCGGCCTGGGAAATTCGGCCTTTGAGCCCTAGGATCCGAGGCCCTCCATAGTGGACTCTGTGACACACTGTACTTAGTGCGGCTTGGTTTCTCTCGAGCCTTTACCTTGTCTTTGGGCTGCAAGGCTTTATATTGCTCCAGTATTCATTCTCCAGTTCACCATAGTGACCTGCAGTATCACTATTGCAGCTGAGTTCATGTCAGGGAGGTGACAAACGCAAACCGGTCGTGGATGTTCCGAATCATATCGGCAGCACTGAATCGGCCAGGGTCGGCGCTGCAGCGCAGCTCTTGAAGCTCAAGCTCGCCAGTCCGGTACCCATTTGCCGCTTCGCGACATGGAGGTAGAGCGTCTGCTGGATGTGGAAAGTGGCAGGCCAGTCGTTCGCCGACCATGGATGCCTCGGCTGGCCATGGGCATGGCCACGCTGGCAACGATGGCTGCTCTTGCCTTGGTTCTCTATGTGGGAGCCCATGGCGGCCTGGTTCCAGGCAACATGCAGCAGCTGCAACGCAAGTGGTGGACTCCTTGGGAGCAGGCGGCGGACGTTGTGCTGGGAATCGACATGGGGACGACTCACAGCTCCATGGCTGTCTACAAGGACCAGGATGAGAAGGTTGAAATCATCGAAAACAACGGCAAGCCGTTGACCCCGAGCTATGTGAGCTTTGCCGGCAAGGACCCGTGCACTGGCGAGGCTGCAAAGGACAAGGTCATGGAATCTCCAACACAGAGCCTGTACAACGTGAAGCGCTTGATGGGCCGGGACTTCAATGAGCGAGCAGTGCAGGACATGATCAAGGTCGTTCCCTACAAGATCGTGGACAAGTCCGGCAAGCCTGTGATAAGCGTTAACGATAAGGACCGGACACCTGAGGATGTGTCCTCCTTGCTCCTCTCAGATATGAGGGCGGCGGCTGGGAGACATCTGAACCAGGAGGTGAAACAGGCCGTGATCACCGTGCCTGGCTACAGCAATGATGCTCAACGCCGGTCCATAATGGCTGCCGCCAAGAGTGCGGGCTTCACCGACGTCCAGCTCGTCAATAAGGGCGCGGCGGATGCCGTCGATTATGCTTTCAACTTCGCGAGAGGGGATGAGAAGCTGATCTTGGTCTATGACCTTGGAGGGGGCACCTTCGATGCTACCCTGGTCGATTGGAGTGGAGACGGCCTCCTAGAGGTTTTGGCGACCGCCGGAGACACCGCTCTGGGGGGAGAGGACTTCACTGATTTGACTACCAAACATCTTCTGGCGAAGTTCAAAGCCAAGCATCACAAGGACATGGGCCCGCACTCCACCCAGGCCTTGCGCATCAAGGTCGCGGATGCGATCCAGGCCTTGAGCTCCCGTCATGAGGCGCTCATCCAGATGGACGTGGATGGGGTGCACTTCAAGGAGACCCTCACGCGCGACAAGTTCGAGGACCTCAACATGCACAGTTTCAAGGGCACCTTGGACCCCATCAAGAAGGTCTTGAAGGATTCGGGTAGGTCCGCGAGTGAGGTGGATGAGATCGTGCTGGTGGGCAGCTCCAGCCACATCCCCAAGGTGAAGCAGCTTGTGAAGGACATCTTCCACAAGGAGCCGAAGATGGCTTCTCCCACGGGGGCGAGGGCAAAAGGTGCTGCGCTCGTGGGGGCTCTCCATCGCAGTGACTTGCTCGTCCTAGAAAGGATGCCCTTGACGGTGGGCTTCGAGGATGTTGGAGGGACCATGAAGCGCTTGATTCCGCATAACTCGGTGGTCCCGACAAAAAAAGCTCAAACTTTCAAGACCTATGCCCCCAGCCAGCCAACAATAAACATCAGGGTCTTCGAAGGGGAAAGGGCCAGACCCATAGACAACCACTGCCTGGCCGAGTTCGACGTGACGAACATCCCACCAGGACCGGCCGGCAAGCAAATCGAGGTCGACTTCGAGGTGGACAAGAACGGCATCCTGACGGCAAAAGCAGCGCACGATGCGAAGGAGCTTGTTGTAATGAGGAGGGGCTGCAAAACAAGAAGATGAGATAATGAGAGAGCCAGAATGGCTCGTTGTATATTGGGATGTCGACGTGCCGGGGCGGTCTGGGGTTCCCAGGCAACACTTGCTGAATATTTCTGGGCGCCCTACGGCCGCCCCTGCTCTCTGCCTTGATGTCGGGATGGATGCATCTTGCATCGCCTAAATCCGGAGGCATGGCTGTGCCGCGGTGTTTGTGTCTTGTCACTTGTGTATCGTGTCACTGAAGCTGAGTTCTGCGAAAAAGCAGGCCAGGGTGGAAGCGAATCTGGACCTGAAGTTGGCGTTGCTGGGCTCAGCAGCTTAAGATACTTCAGGGTTTAGGGCTGCAGTCAGAGAGCGGCTGCTCGTCAGATTGCATCGTAAGGGTCTCGAGGCTCTTGATTCGGAGCACCTTTCACAGGGTTCCCTGCAAGAACTCGAGCGTGAAAGAATCCCATGAGGTGACTATCGTTACACTAGAGCACTGCACGAGTACGAGCGCTTTTCTGGCGCCAAGCATCTGCTTCGATTTTCGATACTGGCCTCATCGCATACTCATTGCCTAGCAATCCTTTATGCCATAGTTCTAGCACGAGATTCGCGGGCATTCCGAAGTCGAGGGTTCGAATGCCACGGTACGTCAGATTCGGATCAGATCTATGGCAGTCCATAGTCTTACTGAAAGAGCTGCTGACAGGCGCGCTCTTGGACTGGATGGGGGGGAGCGATGGATGAGATTTCAGGTTTCGGGCTAGGCGCAAGTGTCTGCACGGGCCGTTGTTTTGCAACTGAACTTCGGGGGCTGTTTATGTTCTAAGCAAGGGCTGCAAAGCCTAGATGTTGAGTGCGTTGCCTCACTAAACCCTAAACCCTAAACCCTAAACCCTAAACCCTAAACCCTGAACCCTAAACTCTGAACCCTAAACCCTTCACTCAGGTCCTACTGCATCGGCAGGGAGATCCTCTTGCACGCGCGCCCGGCTCCTTACGGCCTTGCGGCTGTCAGCCCGGAGCAACTCCCAGAGATGGTCAGAAACATATTAACGTACAATGTGATAGGATAGTATAGTATGGTATAGTAATATAGTATGGTATGGCAATGTAGTATGGCATGGGAATCTCGTATGGTATAGGAATTTAGTATGGTATAGGACCATAGTATGGTATAGGACTATAGTATGGGTAAAGTATGGTATAGAAAAGAGAAGTATATCAGAGGACCCCGACTAGGGAACTTCTTGATTCCTGCTGGTTGCCAGTTTGCCGCCGAGAAGATGGCGACATTGAAGCAGGAGTCCGGGTAGGGGGAATGGGACAGAGGCAGAGGAGTCCCGGATGGACTATTTGGGCCCTAAAATCCCCATAATCAAGCCTATACACTAGGGTGGCCTTTACCACAACTTTATCACTGTATTAGTTTTGGGGCTCCTCTAATTTCATATTAAGGCAGCGAAAAGTTAAACTTTTGTTCTGAGGGTTTAAAGCAATCAAGTAAAGAGCCTTTTAAGAGCTCATAGGGTATAGCAACCCATGCTGGTTGCTTCTTTGGGGTACTTGATAGCGTCACGCAGCCGCGGCTGCAAACAGGGCACAACTCTGAGGCCCAACCGCCTGGCAGTCGATCAAACGAATTCCTGGAAATTGTTGACACATGCAATTCGCTTGTCAGTGCCGCAGTCCCGGAAACGCAGTCATTGATTCTAATCATAGCGGAAAAGAGCAGTGGCTGGAGCGAGACCCTTTGAAGCCCATGACGATATCCCTAAACCCTTTCCCGAGCCCCAAGCCCTCAGCCCTCAAACCCAACATTACGCACAACCAGAGCCCTTCTTCAGAACTTCAGGTTTTCCTGAGTCGCAAGAGTGATCACATCCGGAGGGAAAGCATCCTGTCTTAGGGTTATTCGTCAGATCTATGATCTATACAAAGCCCAGGGCATCTTTATGGCATCCCAAAGCTGCCAAGGCGGAGTTTCCAGAAGCCTCAGATAGCAAACCCTAATCCCTAAACCCTGAACCCTCAACCCTCAACCCTAAAGGAGATGGACAAGTTTCAGGGATCCATGCCCGGTGCTGAGGGCGTGCGCAAAGCACGGTGGTTCAGCGTTCTGTGGGGTTAAGGTGTGCGAGTTGTGGTTGCTCGACCAATCAAGAGCAGCTTCTGAAGAAGATTTCCTGGCATGTGCCCTGAACCCTGAGCTGCCATCTTGAGTGCAATTCAGGGTTTTAAGGCGTCCAGGGCTTTTGGGACTACTTGTAGCAGCCAGCGTTCGTGATGCCAACGCTGATCCCTAGGTTTCGATACATGCTCTTCCTGCGCGTCTCCCCGCTCTTCCCCAATTGGCCCGGCTTGGCCAGTTTGTGTCCTTTTTTCGCTGAAGACTGAGGATGAAACAGCCCTGAGGCCTGCAAATATTGTCAACCACAACAATGTTAACCACAACAATGTTGACGGTATGTTCTTTTTGGCTTCGTTTGCTGGGTTGATCCTTGCTTGGGACCTCTCGTGATAGGCATGCAGTACACGGGCTCTGTTTTAGAATTAGGGGCTGACATTTTTTTACCGACAGTCCCCGGCCAGGTTCGTGAACTACGCAACCGCCATGATCGGCATGCCTTTCTCGTACTTCCTGGTTGCACATGCCTGAGAACTTCATCTGAGAGGTGCTGAAAATTGCTGACAAGTGTGTGTAGTAGCCGCGCGCCTCGGTCTTCGCAGCATGCGTTGACTTGGTGGAAACTGTAGGGCTGTCGAACGGAGGTGGTTCCATGCCTTGGCAGAGAAACATTCAGAGTCTTCTTTTCAGCTTTCCGATCTCAACGAAACTTTTGTCAGACATCCTGACATGCGGTCCTTGCGGTCCTTTCGCCGCCTTGTCCGGTGGACGCCCGCCCTCCAGCGTGCCCGGCACGCCCTGCGGGCTGACCCACAAGGGCCAGGACCCGGCTGGGTGGCAGGCGCTGGGCTGGCTGGGCTGGCTGGGCTGGCTGGGCTGGTGGGCGGCTCTGCCTGCGCCTGCGAACATCGGCAGACGCTGGGAGCTCCCGTGGCCACAAACCTGGAGGTTCCAACAGACCGGGACTTGCGAGTCGTAAGCCTTGAAGAGCTCCGGAGCCACAACAACTTGGAGGATGGCTTGTGGATCTCTTACCATGGACACGTCTACGACGTCAGCAACTTCGCCAAGATCCATCCCGGCGGTCCGGGCCGAATCCAAATGGCTGCTGGAAGCGACCTCCAGAAGTACTTCGATGTCTACCATGTGACTCGGATGCAGAGGAAGAGGTGGGCCAAGGATCGTAGGGACACTGAAAATCTCGGATATCCTCAGCCTAATCTTGTGCGACCGCACTGGGGCATTGTCGCCCCTCCGCAACAAACCATGGTGGCCAAACCATGAGATGCCTTGAAGTCTTGCTTTTGACTTGACCCTCAGGTACACCCGGATGTGAGCAAGTTCCTTGATCGGACTTGTCTTGTGGGCCGCCTCACGCCGAAGGACGCCAAGAGGTCCTATGAGGAGACGATCTTTGCCAATCCATACGAGAATGAACCGCCCAGGACGCTTCAGCAAACCATCGCAACTGCCCCTCGCTGGGCGAACCTCATGGGCAAATACCTCCTGGACTCCTTCAGAACACCCCTGCCCGGGTTCTACGTGAGGAACCACTTTCCGGTGCCTAGCTGGGAGGACGTCGAAGAGGAGTACGAGTTTGAGGTTGGCATTCCGGGCAAGGAGAGCAAGATCTTCAAACTCAAGGACTTGCGGACAATGCAGCAGAGCACAGTGGAAGCCACGATGATCTGTGGCGGGGCCGCGCTGTATCCACGGTACCTGCATCGCACAGACAACAGGGACACCTGGGAGAAGGAGGCTTTCCCCAGGAATGAAATCAACAACAACTTCTGGGGCAGTCATGCTATCTGGACCGGAGTGAAATGCCGAGACGTGCTGCGGCTGTGCGGGATCGATGTCGATGCCATCGCCCTTGGTACCGAGCCGCTGCCCGCAAAGTACTTGCGGCTGACTGGCCATGATGCGGACGAAACGGGCTCGAGCTTCGGCGTGACGATCCCACTTGAGAAGGCCGTCGACCCCTTTGGGGATGTGATTCTTGCCATGACCATGAATGGTGAGCCCCTGCCTTCCGACCACGGCTACCCTGTCCGTGTTCTGGTGCCCGGCTACGCGGGTGTGCGGAACTGCAAGTGGCTGGCGAAGATGGAGTTGGCCAACGAGCTACACGAGAGCCACGTCGACACCCACACAGATGAGGTGATCTATCCCCCAAACATGACCTTCGAAGACGACCTTGCCAAGACCTCCCTGACAGGTGGCACGGTCCAAAGGGCCGGTAGATGGGAGGCGCAGCAAGACAACAACATCTTCAGAGTCATGGAGTCTCAGCTGATGACCCAAGCTAGGCCGGACAACCTGACTCTTTTTCCTTCTGTATCCCGACCCAGGAGCTTCGGAAAGCCCCGAAGCCCCAAAGCCCCAAAGCCCCAAAGCCCGAGCCCAAATCCCCCCCCCCCTTCCGCCCCACCACCCCCACCCACCGAACCAAGGAGATGCCAGTGCACAGCAGCGTCATCCTCCCCGAGGTGAACACGACCTTGTTCCTGGGATCTGCAAAGGGTTGAGTGATTGGGTCCTCTCACTCGTGAGTTCACTAAGCCCTGTGCGGTCATGCCCCAGACACCAGAGCGCCCAACTTCGTTCAGGGACGCAGGGGATCCTAGTTTGGGAAGACCCCACAACTCCCCTTGAGCATCCACGGTGGCCAAGGTCCGGGAAAGAGGCCTCGAAGGTCGTGGCCGAAGGCCTCGAGGTCGGCTGGTAGACTGGTTGTTTGTGTTCAGGGTTCGATCCAAGGGCAAGGAGGTGTGGTCGGTCGGGGGGAACACAGGGTTCAGGGATGCGGGTTTAATGGCCATTTATTTCTTCTGGGCATAGGTTGTGGCTTGTTTCAGCGGACAGGCAATCAGATCTTGTCTCCCGGATCTTTGTACATATTTGTAGGCGCGGGCCCCACCTTCTGAGGTCAAATGTGAGAATCTCCTCGCCCTCACTTGCAAACCCAAAACTCAACAGCCCCATGCTCAACCCCTCACAAGATGCCAAGTCAACATCAAAGTCTCTGTGAGGTCGGCCGGTTAGCCAGTAAGGAACATGCATGTACGATGGGCCTCGTGAGCAGAAGGGCCGGAACAAACTCTGCCGGCTTCCTCCCGAAGCCTCGGCGGTGCCTTCACACAGCAAATGCCCTTGAGACCCATCAGCCCAAATCACCCTAAACCCTAAACCCCAAACCCTAAGCCCTCATCGAACCAGTCTTGAAACCAAATGAAGCGGGCTGACCAGGTTCGCGGCATCGCCCTCGGGGGCGGCGGGCACCGCGTCGCCCGTGTGGACGTCTCCATTGACGGAGGCACAGGAGTACAGGGCTTCAGAGTCATCTTCCGGCTTGAAAATAACTCGGAGGTTCCAAGTTGAAGGTGCAGCTCAAGTGCTCCTGTTCCTAAATGTGTCCCATGGTCCGTGGAGGTAAGACGTACGTACCGGCTGACCTGGACGACCATGGCATGGAGAAGGTCCACAGAAGAAACTACCACTGGTCTTGGCCCCCTTGGCCCAGATTTCAGCATGCGCGTTTCAATCACGGCCGGCTTTTGGCTTGTCGGTCTTGGCTGGTGCAAAGAGGTCTTGCACTGCCTGTCCTAACCCCGAACGCTGTTCCTGGTCCGAGTCGGTCCGAGGTACTGGTGGTCCAAGAAGGTCCCCCTCACGGAGGAGATGAAGCTGCAGTTGGCCAAGGGACAGCCCTTGACGCTTCAGGCGGGTGCAGGGTTTAGGGTTTTCGAGAAATCTAAACAGCCTGACCCAAAACCCGAATCCCAACATGCTTGTATAAAGGTATTGTCATCACTACGGTTAGTCGCATTCTTAGAATTGATTTAATTCGTGTTCTTCTTGGCATTATGATGTTATTATTCGTATGACCATGAGCAATAAGAAGGACAGGAAGAAAAGCCTGCGCAAACTCTTTTTCAAACCTTCCAGGTAGCGTCCCGCGCCATGACGGAGCACGGCAACACGCAGCCAAGCCGCGAGGACGCCGTCTCTTTGTACAACCTCGTGGGCAACATCTGCAACTACCAGACACACACGCCTATTGTGATCACACCCCCCAGAAGCTGATTCGTGACTGGGCGTCGGCCCGTCGGGTCGCCCCCGAAGCTGTCGCGAAGGTTTATTTGAATTCCACCTTTCCTATAGTTTCAAGGAGACCTGGCGCCAGGTCTTGTACAGTCATGATATCCTGCGCACGAGCACCAAAGTGACGGTTCAAGAGCTCACAAGCTCGATGTCAGCGAAGACGCGCAGTGCCTCACCAGACAAGATTCTGTTCTGCGGTTTTCGCGTGAAACCTTTGCGAGAGGCAGCTGCGAGAGGGCTTCTCTGTAGCTCGTCGCTCGTAGGGAAGCCGTGCTCTTGGTGGATGGTGAGGCCTCGACGCTTGCCATACAACCGGCCGCTTGCATGTCGATTGCCATGGGCAGTGCGGCCGGCTCGAGTTTCAAGCGCGTTCAGGTGACCCTTGAGACCACCGGCGGTCGTTCTCAGCCCTTGGACCTAGGAAATTGAGTGAGGCAGCACGGGCTCCCTTTTGCTGCTTTTAGTCTACTGCAGCCAGGCATGCTCCGGGACGTGGGCGAGAGTGGGCTCGACATGGCGAAGCTGGTCAAGCGGGGTGGTATGTCGGGGCCCCTTTTGATTGGGGCTGCTGAGCATCGGGGTCGCAACCTCTGGGACCTAAGAGCGGTGTCGAAGTAGTGATGGGACCCGAGTTCCCATGAAAAACCACGCCTTGGCCATACATTTCCAGTACAAAGACCCCCAAATAGTAGGATCCTTTTAATAAGGACCCCAATAAGGTGCCCCTAATTGCGGAAGTTGCCATGGCAAAATCTTGACAGGATGGCCACCACTATGGCCCTTCTCTCGCTGCCGCTGATACCGGTGCGTGCTGACCATGCATCATCTGCATTTTGTGGTTCAAGGGTGGTGTTTTATGTCATGGATGAAAGCATGTCTTTGCTCATGAACGGGTCAGGTCCATAGTTTCCGATGGGCCACGGCGACCTTTTTTGTCTGGCTGAGAGTGCTAAAGAAGTCGCCGTGACACCGAGGAGTACTACAAGATCTGAGCCCTTGGAAGAAGCGGCAGTCCTTTAAGAAGGGGCTCCCCCAAACCCAGGCACTGCCGTCGTTCAACAACCACCCACCTCGCGTACACATGGCAAAGAGCCACGAAGAGTTCATGTTAAGTTGAGGGTTAGGGCTCGGACACGGACGGTAGCATGATGAGGGTACCTTCCCAGACTTCAACCTCTCAAATCGCTTCGGCCCAAAAGCCTTGGACCATGTGAACTGCCAGTCCGACGACTGGGCGAAGGGCTTGGCCCGGGCCAAGAAGATGCTGGGCATGAAGGCTGGGACTGTTCCCATCGCTTCGGGCTTTGGGGTTGAGGGTGTCGAAATCTCGAGCACAGCAACACTGAGCAGTTCATGCCGTCCTTCTTGCAGGAGCTAGGACAGGTAACCAATCATAGTAAGAACCAGCAGTAATAGGTGGTGGTAGTCGGAGGAGACATAGTATCCGCGGTGCTTGTAGCTATAAGTGCCAGGGACATAGTGTCATAGTGAGGACATAGAAGCATCAGAAATAACTCAGTAACCAAGAGGAACAGCAGAAGGGTTCCCGTAGTATTTGTCGTCTTACTAGGGGCAATAGTGATCCTAATGGCACTAGAAAGACTCAGGTGTTGACTTGGGGTGTTCAGGCCTGTGGTGTTCAGGCTGTGGTAGGAGATGTCACTGCAACTCACCAAGCTTGCAATCACAATCGGACGTTGAGCCCCAGAAGCTTTAATGTTGGGAAGCAACATGAGCGTCGGACGTTCTAGTATACTGCAGATGCTGACAGGTAGGATTGCCGGACGCACGCCCATGGGGTCTCATGATGTGTGTGGTATAACCACGGGACGCACAACATGTAACCGTGTACTTCTGCAACACCTCCTTGGCAGGAGCGGCAGGAGTGAGGCCTGGTGGCCGGCACTCGCCAAGAGCGGAAGCTTCCCTGTGGCATCGCGCGTTGCCACGTAGTCCAGTGGAAGCCGAAGCATCTCAGTGTATCACCAGCGTGCAGAAGCAACCCCCACACGAGCCACACGAGTTGAAGCGAGAGAGCTCGAAACAACCCCACCATCCGAACGCTTCGAGCCCTGAACCCTGAAGCCTGAACCCAATCTCGAAGTCGGAATCCCGAAGCTTCAGGTGCTTCCAGGTTGGGTTTCGAGGGGGCTTAGGGCTTAGGGTTTAGGATTGCCGCCCCGTTGCTTTCCGGGTTGTGGGTTTGAGGCTTTTGGCGATTCACACTAAGGCCCCAAAGTACCGGCCACAAATCCCCGCCGTTGATGTACCATGCGGGACTCCATCCGCAGTTAAAACATGTATTCATGTAACGTATCATCATCGTAGTAATAGTATGACGAAAGCGAACGTAGCTAGGCTTGAGTTAGTCTGTGCTTTGGCAGGGCCCGGACCAAACCTGGTGAAGTTGCGTTTTTTCAAGAACATTTCGAGGAACATGGGGGCGGGGTGTGTTGAATCTCTCAAGAGAGTTTGTCGGGTGCGGGGGGCCGGGGGTCGCCAATCATCGAATCTGCCAAGCGGAAGGGGGTGGGGGTCGCCATTCCTGGAGTCTATCAAAAATTGCAATGAAGCTGCCTTTAAAGCCTTTAAAGGAGGGTTGCTGGCGATAGATGTGCGGTCGTTGCGAGAGACAGGGGTACAAGCACACATTCTCTGAAGCGCGCGCGTGTTTCGGCGAGCTCCGCGGATCTGGATCGATGGCGGTTGTTGTGAGGGCATGTGTGGCGATGTGTGGTGGGGTGTGGAGTGTGGAGTGTGGTGGTAGTTGTGGTGTTGGTGTGTGGAATGTGGCGCTCTTTGGTGGTGGTTATGGTTTTGGTGTGTGGTGGAGTGTGGACCTGTGGTGGTGTGTGACTTGTGGAGTGTGGTGATGGTGATGGTGGTGGCTGTTGTGGTGGTAGTGGTGCGAGGTGTGTCTAATCCATATTGGCGTCAATTCAGGCTAGCTTTCGTTGTCCACGGCTGTGCCCCGAAAAACAATTTGCAACCATTGATGATGTGTTGGGCTTCAGAATGCTTTTCTTCCGCCTCGTCGGTGGCTCTCAGCTTTGTTTTCCCTCTTGGTCCTGCCGGCCGCGAGCTCAGTGGACGGTGGCAGGGCCAGATTACGTCACTTTCGCTCAAGGTGGACCCTTGTTTTCGCTAAGCAGTCGAGAAGTAGGATGGAGTAGTAGTGATGAGGATCGGATGGCAACTGGCAGAAATCAGGCTTGTGTGTTCCAAATTGGGGTCCTTCTTACTTTTTTGGGCTTTAGGGGTGCCCCTTTTCAGGAATCCTACGATCACCGACAACCGACAGGGGCCCTGCTTGAACAGCACAGGCAATATGCCCTAAACCCTCCAGCCAAAACTTCCTAAACCCTAGACCCGAAACTCTAAACCCTGAACCCTAAACCCAAGAGTTCGAAGTTGTTGCGTTTGTTCGGACTCCTGAGGCCGCGAGCGATCCGTTTGGATTTTGTTCCCCTCGCCATGGCAGAGGTGCGGGTTTAGGGTTTAGGGTTTAGGGTTTAGGGTTAGGGTTTAGGGCTTGGGGTTTACGGTTTAGGGTTTAGGGTCGGCTTAGGATCCTCTTGGGCTTAAGGTCCTGGAACCCTAAACCCTAAACCCTAAACCCTAAACCCTAAACCCTAAACCCTAAACCCTAAACCCTAAACCCTAAACCCTAACCCCTAAACCCTAAACCCTAAACCCTAAACCCTTTTCTGTCAGGGCAAGGAGCCTGAGAAGGAGAGTACCCCGGCGGAGACGGGCGAAGAGATCTTTGCAGGGCGTCCCAGATCAACTCGGAGCACGTCCCACACCCCAAAGCCCCCCAACTCGTCAGGGTTTAGGGTTTAGGGTTTAGGGTTTAGGGTTTAGGGTTTAGGGTGAAAACCCCGCCAGAGTTTGGGTTCAGGCTGAGAGTTTTCGGAATTGCGGGCCCGAGATTTGGCGCTTGAGGGGCCTTTTCCCCAACATCAGGTCCTAAACCCAAACCCAAAACAAAACCCTCAACCCAAAACTGTTTTGAAACCCGAACGCCCGAAGCATCGTACCCAGGATCCGTTAGAGGGCCTGGACGGCGAGGCATATGGGCGGGTTCTTCTGAGAGACCTCTCCTTGGGGTCTATAGGGTTTAGGGTGGTAACTGAAACCCTAAATCCCAAACCCAAGAGGGGGGCTTCTTTTTTTTGTGGAGCAACCCCCATTCAAAGGCGTGAAGAGAGGCTTTGCGGTTTGGGGTTGACAGTCTAAGGTTGTTGAGGGTAAGCGGATGCAGGGTTGTTGATCAGGATTGTGGAGTTTGCAGGTTCCAGTTTGGAGGCTTATCGGGTGGTGGAGGGTTGCAGGATCTCGGTATATTTTGGCGGTTGTTAGGTGTTTGAGGGTGTTGAGGGTTTCAGCGTTGAGTCGTACGCCAACATTGCGCACCTGTGGCAGGATCTCTACTACCTGCCGGAAGCCAGCTTGAAAGGCATGAAGGACCACCACGGTTTCCAGAACCCCCATTTCCTGAACCCCCTAAGCCGCTAAGCCCCTATAGGCCCCGAGGCCCTGATCCCCAGTGCATGTTGAGCCCAAGCCAGGAAGCCCTGGCGAAGGCCGACGTGAAGCCAGAGGCCGGTTCCTTCCCAATCAAGGTGTAGGAGCCAAGCCCTTATACACCTGACTGCCTGAGGATCTCGAGCCCTTCCTTGAGAAGATCCTTCAGCCGACCAAGCTGGACGACAAGGCAGATCTCTGGCGCCAGCATGGGCCCACTGTTTGGGCCTCTGAATTTCTCATTCCTGAGCCAGGAAATGCTGCTCCCGGTTGACATGCGTGGTGTCGAGAAGGTGCCAGGGCTCTCAACTTCCGAGAGTCGGGGACCATCTCCACAGCTCACAAAAGCCTAGACCCTAAATCCTAAATCCTAAACCCTAAGCCCTAAACCCTTCTGGAACATGAAGTCAGCGGCTCGAGGAAGGCTAGGTAGCCCAGATGTCTCATGAAAGGGA